CTAGGGTGGTTCACTTACTACATAGTATTGAGTATTTCCAGGCCTAAAAAAATGAGACTCGACCTTCTCCGATTTACATGAAACTTTGCATAATTGTTTGCTATAGTCAATCACATCTGAGCTAAAATTCTTCTGTTTGAATCTCGCAAAAAAAATCAACCTGGTTATTCGATATATTTGAATAAATCAAAACTTCCAATCAAAATGACGTCTAAGACAAAGCTATATGAAAAAAATAATTCCTATTCAGGAAAAAAAGAAACGGTAAAAAAATGCAGGTAAAAAATCTAAAAATGTATTAAATAACAGTAAATGACAGTCTTCAATATTTTTAATATGTTTTATTTAACGTTACAACTAACTGAAACTTACTCGAACAAAATATGAAATGCCAACACAATCTTTTCTTGTTTATTAGATTATGAATTTGACACTCCGGCTCCAAGTGATGGCTTATATATTAAAGAAAAAAATTAAATAAAAAATAAGATCTGGATCGAGAAAATAAAAATAAGGTGTTGACACATAGTCCAAGATTTTTTTAATATGTTTACTTTAAAAAATCCTAGACATTATTCCTTAAGATAATTCTTAAAGATATATTTAATATTTTTTTAACACTTAACAACAACATGGTTCCGAGATGTTTCTAAATTTTCGGTGTTTCTAAAGAGAAAAAGAAGTGAAGATTTAAAACAATAATAGGTTTTATTATAACATTAGCTATACAACATTACACAACATACAATGGAGCCGGTTTTCACGCGGTTTTTGCAATCGCTGTTTTTATGCGGTTTTCCCCTAAATTCGTTTTTTAGGCGGTATGCCTTTAACGATTTCCCTAAAACGGAACAACTTAACGACTTAATTTCAAACACATTATCTGTTTTGTTCCAAAAGTTATCAAATGACGTATTAAAAAAAAAAACAAAAAAATTTGTGCACATGTTGTTTGCCTAAACAAGACAAAATAATTATTTTCCAGCGTGAGCTCAGGCTGGACATGTTACCTTCTTGCTCTTCTCGAAGTGAAACAGCTGTCTGTCGCGTCGTTCATTTGCAGTTTGAAAACGGAATCAATCAGTAATGTTGTTAGTAATTTTAGAAACATTCAATTGCTGTATAATTCAAAAGAGAATTTAGAGTCTACTACTTACTGAAGACTGGTATATAATCTATATTTTAACTCATTTTAATATGAAGGAATCGCTCTCACAAGGGTGTTATTCAAATTATCAACAAGAAAAACGTCATCAAGATAGCCTTGTACTCTAAACTAGGCATTTGAAAGATCTCAACTACCACTCTGGAAGTGCTCAAATCACACTAAGGTAAAGTCCCACAGGGACGTAATACTTAAAGCCAAAGAAGAAGAATAAAATGCTCAACACATGTGAGGACAGCCGTAAAGTTCCAGTTGAACACACTGTGATGGACAGACATAGCTGAACAGATGACTATAGTGTTCAATCGTCAAAATCATTGTAAGATGTAGTGATAACGCAACGATAGCTACCGACCAAAACTGTTTATGTATAGGAACATAGCAATAGCATTTAGCTTTCCACTATAAAGATCCAAGAAAGTATAACTAATCACACATTGCATTTAAAATCTTGAATGTATGGAAATGTATAATGTATGATTTCACATAAACATGCTGAAGTTTGGCTATACCCAAAAAAAGAAGCCCGCCACTAAGTTTTTTACGAATTTGCCAGCGATAATTGTTGAATTGGTGAATCGTGAAACGTTTCCAGATGATCAAGATGGTACTGGCTGACTACACTCAATCACCTATGTAAGTACACCTCACCTTTCTGTTTGTTGTTCCGTTAACAGTTTGCAATATTTTCGATATATGAACGTGCACATACCTAGGTACCTACGTTTATATGAGATTGACGCGTCATGTTTGGTGCTCATGCAAAGTGAAAGATATGCAAGTACATATTCCCCTCTCGTTGGCCACGTTGATTAATTATTTTCGTTTCACTTTCATAAGCCTGACATGAGAGAAAATTTTGGAGTCTCCGGAGGTTAGCAAACGTTGCTCTGCGGTACTGAACCTGTATCTCCTTTAATTGGTACACTTTTTTTTAAGTATTGGCAGTTTTGCGTTCGTTGATAATTAGTAGAATTAAAATTATTCCACGTTCCACTTTTGATGAAAAAAAACTAACTCTGATCAGTAAACTCAAAACCACATGAACACATTGGTTCAGACGGTTTTTTGCCGAAAAGTGCACTCGCTGGAATAAGTTGAAACGGTAACTTAAATGCTGTATGTTTTTGGTCTCCCGATAACTAAGTAAAGGTGAAGACGGCGAGTTCGATTCTCAACACTAAGTTGAATACCGAAAAAGAAGAATCTTCATGGTAATTGTAAACGACGGGAAATTTCTCCTATGATCGGAGACTGAAGCTAAACAATTTCATATGTTTTTCGAAACACAACTTCTTCTTCTAAACATTTTATGCTTCTTTTGCTACTTTTCTCAACTTAGTGTTCTATACACTCTTCCATAGTTATTAATTGAGAGCTTTCTATGCCAATCAATGCATGAACTTGTATATTGTGTCTGTGGCAAGCACAATGTAATTTTCTATGCCCAGGGAAGTCGAGAAAATTTCCAACGCGAAAAATTTCCTCTACCGCACTGGGAATCGAACCCGCTAAACCTATGACAAAAGGTCGAAAGACAAAAGGTAGAAGGACAAAAAGTCGAATTGAACTTAGAGGGACAAAGAACTATGGGACAAAAGGTCAAATGAACAAATGATCTAATTAAACTTAGAGGAACAAAAGGAAGAATGGAGAAAAGGTGAAATGGACAAAAGTTCAAATTTTCAGAGTAGGACAAAAGGTCGAAATAAAACAAAAACTTGAAGTTAAAAACCAACACGAAAATATACATAATAGGTATTCTATGGAAAATTTTCGCTCGAGAATTTACTTTTTTGACGTAGGACTACGTCTTTAATTTCTATACTGGGGTACCCTTTGTGAAAACCGAAAATGGAACATGAAACAAAATTATGAAAGATTTTGAACATTAATAACTCAGCTGCCCCTGGACTAATTTCAATAATTTTTTCACCAATCGATCAGCAATATTTCTACGCAATGTTTTCGACTGATGATTTTCAACAAGAAACTATTAAAAAGTTGTAATGTCAAGTATTGTCCAATGTACAAATAAAAAGTGATAATTTTATCACTGTTTTCATGAAATAAACGTTCTTCCCAAACCCAGTTGTCATAATCGAGTACCACTTGGTTGCACATCATTGTGCTTTAACATGAAAATATATAAAAGAGAGCTGCTGTCTAGCCTCAACTCATTTTCGCTTCGAACGGCGTGGTGAACAGGCAGCAGAAGCAGCAATAGCAGCAGTAGGAAGGTGGTGGCAGGATAGATAGTCCACCTAACAAGCCACAAGGTCGTGACAAAGGAGGAAAAGGTCTTGGTAAAGGAGGCGCCAAGCGTCATGGCAAGATGCTTCGTGATAACCACCATCCATCGTCTGGCTCGCCATGGCGGTGTCAAACGTATCTCCGGTCTGATCCACGAGAAAACCCGAGGTGTGTTGAAGGTGTTCATGGAAAATCTGATCCGTGATGCTGTCCCCTACAATGAACATGCCAAGTGTAAGCGGCCATGGATGTCGTCTACGCTTTGAAGCGACAGACGCACTCTGTACGGTTTCAGAGGTTAAATCATCACCACCTTTGGCAACAAAACGGCCCTTTTCAGGCCAACAAGTTGTAATCTTGTAACCAAACTTGGAAGCAGGGATGCAAGTGATTTTGATCGATTCTCTTCATCAACTTTCTCTTTGAAAAAAAATACTACAAATTTGGTACGCCTACAAATCAAAAACGTAAGTGTTAAGATAATAGATGATCGATCAATTAAAATAACTAAATGCTCTTCATATTTGTTCCGTCCATTAGCGGTCCTACGTCAAGCTTTTGTTCGTGTCCCTAGGCACAGACACTTCTACTCTTTTTTCTTAATTTGTTTTCCGTCGATCTTGTTTACCGTGCTGAGCACCAATGCTACTGACGCCAGGGAGGCAGCTCCCACACCTGGACCCTACCTATCGACTTATCAACTCATTACCAGGGACCAAGTAAAGCCTCCCCTTCTGAGATGTTATGCCTCAGGCGTAACAGCGCCGACTGGGATTGAACCCAGGCCTGCTGGGGTGAGAGGTAATCACGCTTACCACTACACCACCGGCGTCACTCGAGAACTTACTTATACTATACTAATTCTCCCAAAGCACTGCTCATGATTTAAAGCAGGAATATATTCTTGAAAAGGCAGCTATTTGTCTCTTCAATTGCAGTAATACGCATAGTAATTATTTGTTATCTTAATTTTCCAAAAAACTGCTCACGATTTAAAGAAAGAAAAATATTTGAGAGTTATCCACCCATTATATCATCGAATAATTTGACTAGTTTATCGATTTTTTCAAGGTTTTGTCCATTCGGCGTTTTGTCCATCTAAGTTCAATTCTACCTTTTGTCCCTTCAACCTTTTGTCCATTCGACCCTTTGTCGTTTCGACCTTTTGTTTTTCGACCTTTCGTTCTACAACCTTATGTCAACCTTTTGTCCTCCTTCCATACAGCTGGCACTGAATACTAATTAATTGGGCATTTTGATGAGGAAGACGTCAGTCCAAATCTGCTCGTAATTCTTACGCAAATCAATCTACGCAGAAAATTGGGTTTTAAGTCTCTATAATAAAGAAATCAACCAATCAATCAATCCATTTGCATTGTGTTTCAGCTTTTGTAGGGGAAATTCACAAAAATTTTATAAACCCTTTTTTTATCTACTACATTTACATCACGTGGTGCGCTACTCACCAGCAAAACAAACTATTCTCTGCATGTTAGACAGAGTCACCTCCCTCTATATGTTATACATGATTTTGGAGGCTTTTGAGTATTTATAAAGTTACAAAAGATATTTCCTTTGCGAACCTTTGTAAAAAGCACATCTAGCCTCGATTATTTCAAAATTCAGTTCTTGTCCCATTCAAAATTAGGTTCCAAATATGTACAACTAATTTTCAAGGAACCTAATGAATAATGTTTACTTACAGTAACCTGAGTGAAAACTTGCTATTTAAAATGCATTTCATATAACAAACCGGTTTAAAATATATATAAGTACGTCACACCATATTAGAATATTTTAATGTTGCAAAATTATGACAGATAAACTGAATCTCATTTGAGTTTGTATTGTGTTCAAGAAAAAAAACTATAAAATAGCGAACACTGTAATTCAATAAATTTAAGGTCAATAAAAATGTCTCATATTAACATATTTTTATGAGTTTGCAAACATTATGGTGCCATTTTGATAAGTCTTTGTCCGGTTTTGTTTCGCTGAGGTATGCCATGAAAGTTGCAAATCGTATTCTGACAAATCAATACCTTACATTCGTGTAATCTATATTGCACAAGTAACGATGGCAGACAAAAACATGGTTTCAGTTGGGACGTAATAACCACAAACAAACAGACATAAAACATTGAATATTTCTCACTGTAAAACATCGTCGCTGAAACATTAGCGCCATCTGTTGAGTAGACTGTGGTGGGTAGTACGCTGAACAGATGGCGGTAGTGTGTAAACGTCAAACGCAAGAAAAATGACTATGCGTGCCACAGGTGGCGGTACTACCAACTACGATACTTTTAAATTAACCGTTAAATGCTTGTTCGATGAACAACTTACGAGTGTTATGTCTGTTTGTCTATGTTATTATAAATACTAAGAAGAAATTATCAAAATTTCGATTTAAAGATTTATTATTTCAAAGGCACTTTTACTTCACTGCTAACAGAATTCTGAACTAAACTGCACCATCTGTCTTGTGCATCTGAAAAACTTGGCCAAAGGTAGCAAGTCAGTTCGTACACTGGTGAAGAAATGTTGGCCACCATACAATAGGTCTTATAAATCTGATTAACTTTGTCAAATGCATAACCATAGTTGAGCTTTCAAGTTAATGCAAGTAATTATAAGTCAAATCGTATACTCGTCGGGCCTGGAGTGAGAATGTAGAACTGAGCTGTCCACATGTCGGTCATGTTGACAGAAACTTAGTCTAGACGAGATGTGGTTTTTTCGAGTGAGATACGACAGGTCTTGTCATTCAGAACTGAAGACAGAAAACTTCTATCTAGACGTACTGTCAAGTTAAAGCAAGCAATAATATGTGAAATTGCACTGTAGCGTCACATGGTGAGTGAATTCTGAGCTGAGCTGTTCATCATCCAATAGGTCTTATTTATCAGAACAACTTTGTCCAAGACCTCTACCTTCTATCTAGTCGATCTAACGATGTGACAACCGTAACATCCGCAGACGATCTGAAGCAAAACGTACAGGTAAGCTCTTAAATATATAACCTAGCAACCTGTCTCTGTTCTCTTGATAGTCATAGCAAGCGAACACGTGATTGATTGATTGCGGCCTAAAAGTTTGATACATTTTCAATTGTTTACTACTCTAAGGGTGTGAAAATAATTTAAATCCATCAATAAATGGCCAAGTTATAAGCGTTTAAAAGCTAACACTATTTCGTTACATTTTTTTTTGCACCCCAGTATAGACGTAGGCCTACGTGAAAATAATACAACAGGCGATTCATCAGATTATTTATTCCACTGAATTTTATGTTGGCAAAATTTAGCCAGCTTTTAATCATCGTATCTAGGTTTTATATTCAACTAAGCAAACTTTGTCCAACTCTCGGTAAATTTATTTTTGTACTTATAAGTTTTTCCCCCACAGGGTTGCTTCCACTCATTTTGCTATAAAAATATTTTTCAAAACTCTGAAAAATAATGAGCTGCATGTTTGTACTTGTAAGTTACAAAAAGAGGTTGTTTGACACATAAAACCTGTCAATTTTACTTTCAGAGAGTCACAATCAGTGATTTTATGATTCGCGAGCGCTCACTCTGAGTGAATGCTCACAAATCCTAAAATCGCTATGCCAAGTTTAATGATACTATTAGGCAAATACAATTCTGCTTAGAAAAAAGCGTGCGATAAGGTTGATATCCCTCTTTTGCTATTCAAATTATCTAAGATAGGTTTTAGTCAACAGTTATTAAAGTGGATTTAGTCATACTTGACCGGTAGGACACAAAGAGTTAAATTTGAAGGAGATTTATCGTCAGTAGTCATGGTAACATCTGGTGTGCCACAAGGTTCCAATCTTGGACTAAATTAAGTTTTGTTGAACATCATAATAACATTATCTATAAGGCAAGCAACATGGTAGGGTTTATTAAACGGTTTAGCTTTCATTCCAATGATCCATACACAATCAAAACATTATACATAGCATATGTTAGGCCCCTCCTTGAGTACTGTAGTATAGTCTAGGGTCCATATCAAGATAATCATATTAACCGCATTGAATCAGTTCAAAACCAGTTTCTATTATTTGCTATAAGAAAGTTAGGCTGGACGAGTTTACCCTTACTATCTTATGAGTCTCGATGTATGTTGATCAATTTGGATGCACTTGAAAAGCGAAGGCAGTTTGCAATGACAGAGTGAAATGCCACAGAGATTTTAGAAAATCTAAATTTTTATGCTCCCACTCGTTCCTCAAGAAACAGAAATAGATTTTATACTAACAACCAAAGAACAAACTTTGTCAGCGCCTTTAAATAGAATGATGTATTGTTATAATGAACATTGAAAACGTTTCTTTTTTAGGTTAGTCAGAAATTAAAAAGTAAAATAGATGTTAAGTGTTTTTTGTTACTTACACTGGTTTACATTTGATTGACGACGAATGAATGAATAGATTACGTGCTCGGTATCAATATTCAGCGACTCGTTTTCTGATGACAAAATTACGCATTTCTATGCACAAAACGCGAGGAATTTTTGGTTTATTCAATAGATAATAAAAATGCGAAAATTTATTAGAGGAATCAATCATAGAAATCAAAGATTTTTTTTTGCTTTTTCCTAGCGTCCTGCAGAAAACGTTACCTTAATTCGAAGTGCTTCTGGTTAATTTACAAGGTCATGTGGTATTCGGTCATTGCCAGAATTTGTATGTACTAGTTCAATACTGTTACGCATTTGACCACAAACGTTTGGTTGGTGGATACATTATCAAAGAGTTTTAGGGGTGATGTGGCTGGCAGCAAGGCGAGCGAACGTTCACTGAAAATTAACTGTTGCTTGGAACGAGGGTGACGCGCTTGGCATAGATGACCCACAGCGACTCACGAAGAGCTACTGAATCCGATCAGTGGCGGTGTGCAGCTCGCTGCTTGCGGGCAGCCTTTTGATGTGTACTGGAGAACAATGTTCAACGCCACGCGCCGAAAGCACTGCTGCTGCTGCTGATGATGACGACCGTCCGGACACCATCACACACGGTGATTGAATAAGCACCGTTCGGCGAAACCAGATGGAATTCGATTTCCAAATCTGTGTTGGGGAAAGCGCTTCTTGCAGGCAATCGGAGATAATTTTGATAATCATTGCTACAGTTGGACATTTGTGTAGTTTTCAATAGTGACCTATTGAAAATTGATAAAGTATTCATTTTAGCAGCTTTGTAGAAAAATTTCCAATTGATGGGCTTGTTTAGAAGTAAAATCCATCCGCTATTTTTTGTTTTTCCTTTGGTTTGTTTTTTCCGTCGATCTTGTTTTCCGTGCTGAGCACCAATGCTACCGACGTGCCAGGAAGGCAGCTCCCACACCTGGACCCTACCTATCGACCCATCAACTCATGAACCGGGGACCAACGGCTTTACTTCCCATCCGAAGGAAGGCGTGATCAGAGATGTTATGCCTCAGAACATCCCGGTGGCGTCGACTGGGATTGAACCCAGGCCTGCTGGGGTCAGAGGTAATCACGCTTACCACTACACCACCGTTCATCCGCTATTGACATATTTATAAGTGGTCAAACCTGACCACTTTTCGTAACGCGATCGATATTGGTTTTTTTTTTTTAATTGCTCCCCAATATGTTGCCGAAAGACGTACTCCTACGTCAAAAGATGGAAAATACAAGTCTGTTTACAGAAAAAAAAATAAAGTATTACCTACCAATTCGAATACAGATATTGTATGGCTAAAATTACCTTAAAATCATCAAAATGACAGCAACCGAAAAACAGATTGGCATTCAAACAGCTTAAACACACTAAAATAACTACACACAAAATGTCAAACAACAAAATTATACTAAAACGCAGAATCAGTAAAACCGGCCTTAAATGTGCGAAAATGACCTGAAAACACTAAAATTTCCTCTCATAATAATCTTGAAACATCAAAATGATCGTAAAAACGTCAAAAATGACCTCAACTTTAGAAACTGGCTATAAAATACCGAAATGAAATCACCGTGAAAATTCAGATACATTTTGCACAGAATTTGAAAAATGTATTATTTACCAAATTGTTTGAATTTCTGCGACCCACTAAAGGACAGTCCGTGACCCACCGGAAGGTCACGAAGTCACGACCCATAGATTGAGAGACACTGATTTAGACGGTTTTTGTTTCTTGATAATACATCATCAAATGAAAACGAAATTTCCAGAAAATCAGTCAAGTTATTACGTGACGCAACATAACAGGTCACCAAATTGATTTAAACTACTCAATCTCTTGATCAATCCCAGACAACCAGAAGTCGTTTAACAATATACAAATATTAATATAAATTACTACAGATTAAGTTAACATCGCATATATGAATAACATTTATTTACCATCGTACTGCATCACAAATTAAATCGGATAACATCGTAAGGCTTATCAAAAAGGATTTGTTATTACACAATTCAGATCATGTCGTATATGATTACAACTAAAATCGAAAAAAAAGAATTTAAACTTTTGCACGTATCTGCAGTATCACCAAAACACTTCGTTGAATGTATTCAAACAATTACTTAGTCTTTCAGCTTCATCTGAGTACAATTTTACGACTGAGTAAACCTGTTATGCCAGGTTTTTCTTCAAATGAAATATAAGCACTACACTACGGCTGGTTTTGAGTTGCCAATAATAGAAAAGCTGGTTAACACGCAGTTCAAATGGAAAGGATACCTAAGGAAAAGAGGCTGCCAACAATAGTCACACTCACCTGAGATGTTTGGAGCGTTGTGAAAACATTTTCAAACCATTTTGGACAATTCTGACGATTGGAATGGATAGAATAGCAAGCAGTAGATAAATGTAAACAAACAAACATGTCGTATGTGTGCGTGACGCTTAGAAATTACTGCCTAGGTTGACGAGAATACTTAAAATCCTTTACCTAATATGTAGGATTTTCTTTCTCTTCGATGAAATTTATGCCACAAATTCAGTAATTTTTGTGCATTATATACAATTTGTTTGTCTGTAAATATGTTTGTACAATATAGACAGTAACAACTTTTTATATACGACAATATATACCAGAATGCAGTTGTCTGGGATGCTTATAGGATAGTTAACACACATTCCAAATCTGCTACAATATTTGAGTATCACCCAAAAATTACAGTTTTTTTTTAGTTACAGTACAAAATCGGTTAAAAACAGGTAAAAAGGTACAATGTGTCTATTAATGAAAAGAAATTTGTATTGCCCATGAACTTTGATGAAGTGTTTCTATTATGTTGACCGTTATGAACTTTTTGGCTAACTTAAATAGTCCATGATAAGTGCATTCTTGTTTCACCGTAACCTAAAACAAACTGAAAAAATAAAATTAGGTTGATAGTCTACAAAACAAAAGAAAAGAAGAAATGTTTTACGATGCTGTAAACCATCTTCCAGATACTTACCCACTATTCTGATATCTCGATCTTTTTTTAATTGCAGACCGAAGACCCTCTGAAACGAATACAGGAGGAAATAAACGAGGTAGCTAGACGCGAGCAGGAACTACGGCAGGGCCACCAGCTAAACGATTCCAACGATGATTGTCTCTCATCGGCCAACTCGGACGATTCCGGACTTTCGCTCTCGCCCAGCCCAGTGCACTCGCCGTCGGTGTCCAACCTGAAAGACAAAATAGAAGCGGCAAGTAATCAGATAAACGGTACCAACGGCCATGATGCACTGCCTAACGGAAATCGCCAATTCATCTTGCCCCAGTCGAATGCGTTGACCCGTGCCCGTTCCACGCCGCAGCTCTTCCAAATTTCACCGAACCGGCGCTTCAATGTAAACCCAAATCAACGTGGTATAATGCAAAAATTTATCGCTTCTCGGGGTCGACTGAACAAGCTTACGTCCAATAACAATAACAACAACAACATCAGCGGTACCACTACTAATAGCAACCTTATAGTAAAATCAGAGCAACACATGGTAAGTGATAATTGGCGATAGCCCTTCGGGTCATATAGGAAATACCTGGGTTGGGCCAAACATACTGTTTGTCATCTTGTTCATAACTAATTGCGTAACTGTGAGGTAGAAAGGTACAATGTTGAGCACTTACCCAATCTTTGGTTTTCAATGTGTAAGGTGTAAGTGACGTAGGGTAATTTGCAAATTATGGTACTCCATCCAATTTTTGCATATCTCACCGTGTTTATAGCACTTGCATTCAAACCTATAAGGCCATACAATTTTCATAAGTGAATAATGATTCACGAATTGCTTTTCGATGTACAGATATATCTCGATACGCACACGACACTTTGCACTTCCAGCGCCGATTTCACGCAAATGACAAATCATTCACATAAATCAACACCACCACTAGATAGGGAAATGACTCTTGTGTCCAATTACATAGTTGCTTTGCCTGATTGATTTAATTTGCAAGAAAATGGCGATGAAAGTCTACAATTTGCTACAAAAATAATTACCCTTCACGCAATTAATCTTTACAGTAATCAAAAATTAAATGACCGAAAAATACGTGACCCGACAAAAAAGTATGTTTAAGTGGGCAATGTACTACACAGCACAAATGTTTTAAATTTACATTTGTCGCATTGATCGTATTTTCTGGCCTTAGTTGAAACATATAACAATACCGTGAACCCTCGGTAATCTGACCGTTTTTAATCTGAACACTTTTTAATTTGAACCCCACTAATCTGCACGCCGTGCTAAATAAAAATTTCCAAACGTCATTCAGCCATGGAATGCAGTAAAATGAAATTGAATATTGCGAAACGGAACGCATAATCAAAACAAAATAGCAATTAAGGCTGCAAGAAACACGCTTTTCTTGTGCTCATAGGGTTACCAGAAGTTTAAATTAAAAATTAACCCCGTTAATATGCAAGAAGTATCGATCAGATTAGCGGGAGTCCACTACTATTTTAAATTTATGTGTTAATACTTAATAATCTATTCATTTGCCTTGAATTTTACATGCATCTGTGCTACTATATAACACTGAAAATTTCAATAGAAATTTATTGAATTTTCAACGAACAACAATATCAATTTACATGAAAGTGTAAATTTCAGATTTTATTAATTTAATTATTGATCGTTACATACATATTAAATTTTAAATTTTGTTTATTTCTACTTGTCAACAGATAAAATAGTTACCCTAATGACAATTTTCTATATCTAAACATCAAAACTGCTTCAAACACAAAATTAACGCAAACATCTCTTAAAGCTACGCTTGTTTTTCTCGCGGGACACATTAAAATCGAACACATAATAACAACTATTGAAAACGCGGCACATACTCAACATTGGTTCGTGTACGCCATAGTTGGTCCTCGAACGCCGGTTGTTGAAGAACGCATGCAGCCGGAGGTCCCATCGTTGAGTGTTGATGTCAAGAAGACTGAGAAGTGTGGAGCAGTCGACGTTCCCTTGCAGAAGATCCGCAACGAAACAAGCCTTCGCCACATTACGCCTTCCTTCCAAGAGCTCCAGGTCCATGAGGTTACAGCGACTTTCATAGCTCGGCAAGGTACGCGGGTCGCGCCAACGAAGGTGTCGCAACGCAAAGCGAATCAATCTTCGCTGAACAGCTTCAATTCTATGGATAGAATGGCGACCAAACAACGGCAGAGTATTCCAGTATAGGTCGAACCAGGGAACAGTATAAAGCCTTCAGGCAATACACGTCCTTGAAGCTTTTGGCGAAACGGAATAAAAATCCTAGCTGCGATGAAGCTTTAGATACAACATAAGCAATGTGATCCTTGGACGTTAATTTGCAATCGAGCATGACTCCCAAGTCCTTGACAGTCGATTCGCGTTTCAAGCTTATTCCTCTTAAGGTGTAATCGTGGAAATGCATCTCCCGTTTACGGCCAAAGGAGATGACCGAGCACTTGGACACATTTAAAGACATCCTGTTTATCCGGCACCAATCATCAAAGACTTCAAGTTCTTGGTGGAGGAAATGAGCGTCTTGAGGCCCTTTTATTACGTAGTAGAGTTTCATGTCGTCGGCGTACGAGAGTTTAAGGCATTTGAGGATCAAGTTCACGTCGTTCATATACAACAGGAAAAGCAATGGCCCCAGGTGGCTGCCTTGAGGAACACCAGATGTAACAATGAAGGGTGGAGAAGCGTAGTCACCGATCTTAACAGACATAGATCTGCCAGTCAGATAGGAGCAAAGCCAGGTAAGTAGACTCCCATGAACACCCATTTTGTCATATTTAGAGATGGTAATTTCATGGTTCACTCTATCGAAAGCTGCAGAGAGGTCGGTGTATATGGCGTCAACTTGATGGCCACGTTCAATCTCACGAATAATGAACGATGTAAAAACAGTTAGATTAGTCGTCGTCGAGCACTTAGGCATGAAGCCGTGTTGATCCTGAGAAATACTGTACGAGCAGTCTTGAACCAACTTTTCCAGGACAATTAGCTCGAATAGTTTGGAGATAGCACTCAATGCAGCTATTCCGTGGTAATTGGCGACAGTCTGCTTGCATCCTTTTTTGTGAACAGGGAAAACAAACGAATCCTTCCAACATTCTGGAAAAACTCCGGAGGTCATTGACAAGTTGAAGACCTTAGCTAAGGGCACTGAAAGAGTGTCTAAGCAACGTTTCAGTACTAATGAGGGAATCAGATACTGTTGATGTTTTCATCTGTTTCCCGGCTGAAATCACCATGTCGCTGTGGATGGTGAATGGAGAACCAAACACCGACATACGAGGGACATTACTCGTGGCAGCAGCAATTTCCTGAGCATCAAGAACTTCGTCTGAAAAAACGCTGCTGAATTGTGTGCGAAACATATTGGCGATATCTGCGACGGAGTTGGCATCAGTAACGCCATCAGTCATATTGGACGGCAATCCCGTTTCTTTCCGTTGCTCGTTCACATATCGCCAGAATTCCTTAGGATTAGCTTTGAGACGACTCTGCAAGTGAGACTGCGTTGTACAAGCTTGCATTGAGATCTCTGTACTCGTTGTTGGCGCGGACATAATTAGCCTTCGTAGAATCTGTGTGATATTTACTGTGTTTCCTCAGTGCAGCCCTTTTCACCTTTTTCAGGTGCTTAAGATCAGAGTTCGACCAGGCGGGTATGGCAGGTTTACACCGTAGTTTTTTAGGCACAAACTGATCGATAGCGTAGAATATGATACCACACATGGTCGAGGCAGCCAGATTCGCATCCCCGGAGTCTAGTGTCGCATTCCAATCCACATTAGCGAGAAAGTTATTGCATGTACATGTAAAATTAAGTACAAAAACCTGCTCCAGTTTGGGAAATAACAGTTGAAAATTACATAATATTTTTATCTGTGTATGTATTGTCTTCTATAAAAGAGCAGCAGTCTATTTACACTGAACAAACAAATATTTATGTAGCAATATTTGGCCGAATACTCTGCCTGAATATCAAGCTTTAAAATAACAAAAAAAATCGTTCAAATCCATTGTCGGCCACTTGATAAACTTGGATAACTTGAAAAACGGCCGAAGATCAGCAAAAAAATCATGTTAACGCCGAACATCTGACCTATTTGGTGCAGCTCTATTTTTTACCACTAGATAATCATATGAATATCAAATGAAAGTTAATCACAGGACAATATTAAAGAATGTACTGCACACAGCAAAAATTGATAGACGACAAATCCCTTAAAACACTGTTCTGAAAATAAAAATATTCTAGCTACGAGTGAGCTTTTAAGTTGTGAACCTTGAGTTAGTGATTCTGTGTAAGAAATTAGTATGATTCCAGATGCTTGAAGTTTTGAGATATTTCTATTTTTACAACTTCAGTCGAACTTTTGCCCCACCTTTCTCTAAGCAAAATACAACCAGCTTTAAATGATCAAAACTACATGTTTGACTTACATAGTTGGAGATGCTTAACGTCAAATATCAGTGATCATTTTATTCGATGGATGAGGAGATGAAAGTATAGAGTTGTTCTCAAGACATATTATATAAAAAAAAAAAACAAAGACGAAATTGTAAAAATAGCACTTAAGACAACAACTGTAAAATGATCTACACTGATTGACGACAAATAAATAAATAAGTAAATAAATAATTCCGTTAGTGTACGGCAGTGTGAAAATTTTATATAGAGAGTAGAAAGCGAGCAAAGGTCAATTTTGAGGAAGGTACGCATCAGGTTGATCATCTCTTTTACCAAACTCCCCCCTCCCTTACCACCACTGAAAAGATGATCGCCGATTTGCTCATGTACCTTCGATGTGCGGAAACAGTTCTATAACTCAAGTCGCCATCTGACGTAAGCATCTAGTTGATAGGTTTGGAAATTGTAGCTATTGTTGCCTCTACCACTGTATGTGCTGCTGTCATCGTCAACTTAACGATCTCAATGAGACACGGGTAGGAGAGGTGCTGCTACTGTACCTTTCGACCAATCCCGAGTAGCACACTTCCGTTAATAAAAGTTGCAGCAACTTGTTTATGACTGAAATAAGTCGTAAAGAAGTTTCTACATCCGATATATGACAAGCGTGCTATTGATGGTAAGCTCCCATCTAGAGTTATGTACTTTAACTAAACTAAACACTTCATGCGTGAAGTTAACGATTTACACGATTGTAAATCGTTAACTTCACGCATGAACTGTTTAGTTAAAGTATGTTTGACTTATAAATCTTTTTTTTTCCTTTTCCATGTCAATCAGTTTATGCACAACGGCTTTTTTACAGCATACTTTAATTTTTTTTTTGTTCATTAATTTATTTGATAAGTCTCAATAGAATCAACTTTACAGAGCTGTGGATTCTTGTTCACTAAACAAAACACCGTAAAACTATAGTCAAAAGGTACAACACAATAAACACTTTATCTTCAACTATCCAATAAGCCTCATCCATTAGAATGGCATCCGCTTCCAGTCGTTTCATTTTGTGGCAGTATCACCAACCATTGCA